GATAAGAGACTAACATCCAAAATATATAAGGAACACAAAACTTAACATCAATAAAATTGAGAAAAAAATTTTAACAAAAGAGAAGATGCATATAAAGTGCCTACAGAAGGGAATCTTTTGGATTTAGCTCTCAACTAAACATAAACTCCTTAGGATCCTGTTCTATTCTCTCCTATACCCTCAGTTTGTAGAAAAAAAGCACATAGCAAAGCTTTATTGAATGAATTTATGATGATGTTTTGCTCTAGTACTAACAGTACTATTTTTAGTACTCGTTTGTATTTCAACAGAATTTTGTAGGCCTACTGTTTTTCAGGTATGCTCATATGTGTGGAGAATAAGCGAAATCTCTGCTCTCGTGGAATTACAATCTAGTAAGAGAAAGGCACAATATTTGAGCACAGACCTGGCAAGTGGTAAGTTAGAAGCTCGTGAAAGTTCTCCTCTTATTACTTCTATTTTCTCAATGAATAGTTGAGAGAGTAGATATATGTATGAGGCTTTATTGCAAGTTTAAGATTAGGACACAGAGTGGTATATGCAAAAGATGGAAAGAGACAGACAGTGTGAAATAACCAAAAGAAACCTGGCATATTGTATGCGTATAATAGATACTAGGCTTTCAGAATAGAATTATTGGAGGTAAAGAAGGCACAGTGGTTAATTTTATGTGTCTACTTGACTAAGTCATGGTACCCAGAGATTTGGTCAAATGTCAAATGAGAAGTCGCTGTGAAGGTCTTTTTGCTTTGGGGTTTTTGTTTTGTTTTGGGTTGGGTTTTGATGGTGTTTTGTTTTGTTTTTTTGAGAGACACAGTCAGAGGGAGATGGAAGGAAAGAATCTCAGGTAGGCGCCACACCAAGTGCAGAGCCCAATATGGGGCTCCATCCCACAACTCTGAGATCATGATCTGAGCTGAAATCAACAGTTATACACTTGATTGACTGAACCACTCAGGAGCCTCTAAAGGTATGTTTTAGATGAGATTAATATTTAAGTCAATAGACCGAGAAAAGCAGATTACTCTCCATGACATGAGTAGGCCTCATCTCAGGAGTTGAAGATCTTAAGAGAAATAGATCGAGGACCTGGAGGTAGAAGGAATTCTGCCTCCAGACTGCTTTGGGACACAAGCTGCAATACCAACTCTTTCCGGGGTCCAGCCTACCCACCTGCCTTATGGAGTTTGGACTTGCCTGTCTCCACAATCACATGAGCCAATTCCTAAAATCTCTTTCTCTCTGTGTCTGTCAATCTCTTTACACACATACACACACACACACACACCCATTCGTGCACATGCTATTGATCTTATTTAGATTCTGTCTCTCTGGAGAACCCTGACTAATACAGAGAATACTTTTAAAAATCAATGAAGAACTTTCATATTCGAAAAAAATTAGTTTCAAATGTGTATACACCTAAATAATATAGATGGTTTGTTTGTGTTGTATACTTTCATGAATAAGTGTTGTGTTTCACAATACTTAACCATGTATGGTTAAGTATTGATGGTGAAGATATTGTAGCCCCAGAAATGGTTGATCCCTCAGGACACTCTCTTCAGGGAAGAATTAAAACACAAAATCAGTCCAGCAAACTCAGGAAGGAGAGGGTTGAGGGGAGAGAGGGGAAGAGAAAGGAAGAGGGAAACCAAGAGTGAGAGAGAGCAAGAGAGAGAGAGAAAGAGTCTCAGACAAGGTAACAGTCCATTCCTGTCCATTCCCGTTCTGCTTAAAATAAGGGCACTATATTTGAAATAAAGCCCATTTTGAACAGCAGCCTCAGGAAAAGCAAGGATAGTTACTGATGTGGGAGCAGGGCTGGCAGAGGACAAAGCACAACTAAAGTCCCGCAAACCACCCCCACCCAGGGTGGGATATGTGGGATATTCTTCAGGAAGCTTCCAGTTGTCTTAATGTTAATGCCTTCCTAGAGGGAAAAGCAATCTTTATCTTGACAATGGCAAGGCCTCCAGGATCTTGTAGGTCCTCTTAGCATATGAAAATCCTTTTGGAGTCTCCCTTTTCCTTCCCTCCTCCAACTCTGCAAGTATATATTCAGCCACCCCTCACATGCCCTGGGCAGTTGCTCTTTCTGCCCACAGGTCCTGCCCCCTTGCCTTAGTAAAACCACCATTTTGCACCAAAGAAGTGTCTAGAATTCCTTCTTGGTCGCCAGCTGCGGACCTCACCTACATTCCAAAACTTCATCATTACCACGATGGATTTTCATGAACTTCATCAGGAAGTATATGCAGTAATGGAAGAAAAGTCAGGAAATTTCCTTCAACACAATGATAGGGTCCAGAACACTGAGGCAGCAGCAGCAGATTTCAAGACATTTCAAGTAGCTGAGACTCTTCCGATCTCCAAACCCAAGTCTAATTCCTCCTCTTAAAGAGGAACACAAAGGATACAAAGTTGCACTTAAGATTTAAAGATAAAAATAATTTGAGAGAAACTAAAGAACACGTGAGAATAAATTTTACCATTTTAGAGTGCTGTGGATTGTTACGCAGGACACATGACTCAGAATCTATTTGAAAAATTGTTAAATTTACACTATGCTATTTTAAGAATTCTAGATGGCAAAAAAACTTCACAAAGTGTAAAGGATAATAACAAACATTTTAAGAAGCCACATATACATGACAGTCATAATACAATTTTCTGAACATAGACAATGGGCCTTAAAAATCTGTATGTTTAAAAGACAGTAACACAGTAGGAATGGGCAGATATATATGTGGACAAATTATAGAGAAATAATGCGAACAGTATTTAAATATATGAAATGAAACTCCATCTCATTCATAATTAGAGAAACTATTAATAATAAGGGAAGCCCAACGGACAAGCAAAAGCCAAAAAACTCAGCAATACATAAGGTATGGGGACATAGGTTTTCTGACCAATCATCACTATTAGCAGTAAATATTACTGAAACTAATCTAGAAGACTGTTTAGTTGAAAAATACAGACTAGTATGAATATGTTCCTACCCTGAACGATATTTTCCCTAAATTGAATCATTATATTTTACTATTTTAATTGTTTTGGCTTCCTGACTTTTTTAAGGTTTTATTTATTTGAGAAAGCACACAGGCACACGAGCATGAGCAAGATCATTAGTGAGATCACGAGTACAAGTAAGGGGGGGAGAGGCAGAGGGAGAAAGAGAGAAGCAGACTCTCCACTGAGCAGGGAGGCCCATGCCTGATTCAGCCCGAGGATGCTGACGATGACCTAAGCCAAAGGCAGATGACAACCAACTGAGCCACCTTGGATTTCCACTTTTTTTTTTTTTAATTTAAATTCAATTTTCCAAGATGTAGTATAACACCCAGGGCTCATTTCATCACGTGCTTTACTTAATCCCAAATTACTATATCAACCCTTCTGCAAACCCTTTGTTTGTTTCCCAGAGTTATGAGTCTCTCATAGTTTGTCTTGCTCTCTAATTTTTCCCCACTCAGTTTCTCCCCCTTCCCTTATGATCCCTTTCACTATTTCCTAGAGTCCACATAGGAACAAAACCATATGATAATTGTCTTTCTCCAATTGTCTTATTTTACTGAGCATCATACCCTCCAGTTTCATCCACGTCAAAGTTAATGGCAGGTATTCATCCTTTCTGATAACTGAGTAGTATTCCATTGTGCATATAGACCACATCTTCTTTATCCATTCATCTGTCAAAGGACATCTTGGCTCGCTTCACAGTTTGGCAACAGTGGACATTGTAGCTGTGAATATTGGGGTACAGGTCTCCCGTCGTTATCCCCAACACAGATATACTGAAAAGTTCGGCTATCTGACTTTTTGATGTGCTATTCTTCAGTTCATACTATCTTCCATTCTTCTATAGAGTTTGAGAAGTGATCACTGCTTATTATATAGGCCCAGGTAAAGAACATGGGTCGTCCATTACTTATATATTTTCTCATTCAGTCCTCCTATGATCTTCCAAACATTCAACACACACACACACACACACACACACGCGCGCGACACTATCTACCATAATATTAAAATGTAATTGGTGCCACTTTTTCCTTACCCTCTCCAGAGGGTACAGCACACACTGAGGTGCTTCTCTACTATGTGCTCCTTGGTTACTTCTTTATTTGGTCTACTCAGCAGGTTTGCATTGATTGCACCATATACATACAGCTCAACCTCTAAAATTTTTCTAATATCACTGTCGTTTGTCATCTTTTTCAGTTCTCTTTGTCAGTTTATACCCTTTACAATTACTTATCATCTATTTAACAGGGCTTCAGAGGGGTACAGAGAGGAATATGTACACTCCATCTTCCCTTGGTACTGCAAGACCATCTCAAGGCCTCAAGGCCTTCTTGTAGGTAGGTTAATGATTTATGTACTCACCAAGATGAAAGGAGGGGCACAATTTGTGATTTACATATGAGCCACTTCATTATGTGTCTGTCCCCATACCTTCATTTTGAATACCAGCCCATGTCTACCACCTGATTTATTAGAGAAGAAAGCAGGGCAGAGGTCCCTGGCCGCTCTTTCCTTGCTCAGATACACTGCTTTCCCTCCTTTCTTCCCTTCCCTTCTTTCTCTCCTAAAACCTGGTTTGGGGGCTGAAGCTCTCCCATCCCTCCTGCCGTCGTACATACTCTGTCATAGACACACTGGGCAGAAACCACATTCTCAGGCACACTGAGTTCCTCTAAAAGTGTCAACCCACCAGAGTGGCTGAACAACTTGTGGGGCTGGACTTTCCCTGCAAGGATGAGCAAGAGACCACTTCATTGTTATGTGGTTTTACCTTGAAATTACTTACACCCTGGCTGAGGAACGAATGGCACCAAACTGTTGTCTAAGTCACTAATGGATAGCCAGGTGGGGAGTATTATATTATCTTGGGTCCTATGTTCCATCCATTTGTATGACTTTGCATGAACCAGACGCCGAGAGACAAACAACCACCGACTGCGCTGGAACCAGACTGGATCAGTCAGAGAGGCTCAGCATCCAGGCCCCTGCTCTACTCTGAGTTTGTGCTCAGCTCCCCCTGCAGTCCCCATCACTGTGTCACCCAGGGCACAGTAGTACACAGCTGAGTCTGACATTTGCACTGGGCCTTTCTTCAAGTGGAAGGATTTGGATGAACTGTCCAAGGTTGCTTCAAATCCTTTGTTGATTCCCTTTTCCTTGTCTCTTAATGCTTTCAGGAGGAGCTGTGGACCTTCTCCCAGATACTGGACATACCAGAAGAGAGTGGGTGTCGTTGATGTTGAGAAAGTACAGTTTATAGTCAAAGAAGCCTCTTCTGAGAGGGTCACTTGGCCTTCCATCTGTTTCACTGAGTCTCCATGGGTTTGTCCTGGGGAAAAAGAGACCTGTGTCACCTTGAGCAGGCATAACGCTCTTGGAAAAATCATAGTTAAAAGTTTTGCTGACACAATGGGGAATAAAAAATGTAAATTTTTGAGGTATTTTCCTTACCTAGCATGAAGAGTAAGACAATCACGATGCCTGAAGAACACTTCATCTCTGGAGTGTCACCTAAATAATGTTCTTCATTCTTCAACGTGAAGAAACATAGAGTGACAAAGAAATGCTTAGTGAAAGCCCTCAGTTCACACAGGAAATGTGATTGTGATAGGAAGCTGCATCCCCTAGTGGACAGGGACTGAAATTTGTGTGTGTTGCCCACAGGTCTCCCAAACTCAGCAACCTGTTTCATCCCAGACTCCATGAGGCACATGGCAGGCTTCAGGTGGCAGTTGGAACTCTGAAGAACAAGAATCCAAACTCTCAGGTCTATTTTCCTCTTCAGACACCCCCGGAAATGGAATTCTTTAACAAAGCATCCCAGGGCATTTTTATCTCTGACAGGGTAGCAATCTGATAGAGCATTTTACTACAGTACCTTATAATATCCTCATGTATCCATTGTGGGCCAGCCTATAACCCCCTGACTGCCAGAAAAGGGGTTGGGGTTGAATACAGAATAAGTATAAAGAAGACAAGTCATTGCTGAGTGAGTCTGTGGTTTTTGGCACTGCACCCCAATATTTAGAACTGCGACTGTCACGTTTTAAGTACTCACTAAATATTTCTTAAATTAATAAAATAATGAACAAATTCCCTTTAATTGAGATACCATATTTACTTGTTCCTAAACTAGTAACGGTTACAAGAAATACTGTTTTTTTTAAGATTTTATTTATTTATTCATGAGAGACACACACAGAGAGAGAGGCAGAGATAGAGGCAGAGGGAGCAGCAGGCTCCCCATGGGGAGCCTGATGTAGAACTCGATCCCAGTACCCAGGGATCACGACCTGAGCCAAAGGCTCAACTGCTGAGACAGCCAGGTGTTCCGCGAAATACTGTTTTTTTAACAAAAGCTTTCAGAAGAAGTCACACTATTTGTAGTCAACCATTTTAATAGTCAATATTCCTGAGTTTCAGAATCATTAAAGAGTGAAAAGTAGGAACTCTAGGTAGAAGAAAGATCATACATGAAGTTGTCAAATCCCTGTAGAATGACCTGTGATTCTTATCTTCTGTTCTGACTGTTTTGTTGATTCCAACATATGGTGACAAGTGATTGTGAATCAGACAACAAATACTAATCTTATCCTCTTAACAGTTTAGCCTCAAAGATGCTTTCCATTACACCATCCGTCTGTCACGTTGTGTTGCCAAATGTTAATCAAATAATTTTCCGCACAGGGAAGAAATCAGGATTATCAGGAGAAAGTTCTGGAGAGGGACCCATTTTTATAAAGCCCTGTAAACATTGATCTCTGGACACAATAGGCAGCTTAACGCAGCTGTTTCTTGGAGGTGATTCCCCACACATTCAGAACTTTATGAGTTCAGAGCCAACTTGGTGTAACGCTTTCCCAGATGCAGAGAGAAGTAAGAAATTCAGGCTTGGATCCTGTGTTAGGTAACGTGTCTCTTCACTTCCCCTCCACCTTCCAAATTATTTGTCAGAAACCTGCTTCAAATCTATGCTAGGAAGGAATTTTTTTGCAAGCCCCTACAAACTTCTATTCAGATAAGCAGGAACAACGCAAATAGGTTCAGATGATGTTGATTGAAAAATAATTGGATAGCAAATAGATGCAAAAAGTCATTATGTATAACTTTAATAAAATAACACAATTTCAGGCCAATGAAAGTCTACAGGAGAAATATTTTGCATTTCGTGTCACTCTAGAGGACTTGTACCACAGTGAGGGCAAATGCTGCATATAAAATTTGGATATTGAATGGATTTATCAATACATAATTTACATCACAATAAGTGGCACCAAATGAAACATTCTATAAGATTTGTTGTATGCATGTATTTGTGAAGTCATCATCACAATCGAGATAATGAACAGATGCATCACTCCAAAAGTTTCTTCCTATTGCTTTGTGATCCTTCTCTCAACCCTCAGTACAGCCATTTTCCAGGGAAATCTTTGTCATGAATTAGTTTGCATAGTTTGTATTTTTGTGTAAATGGAATCATATGTACTCTTTTGCATGGCTTCTCCTCAGAATAATTATTTTGAGATTCTTTCATAGTCATAATTATCAAGACTTTGTTTCCTTATGTTGTTGTGTAGAACCCATCCTGTGCCTATAAAACAGTTGGTCTATTCACCTGTTGATGACTATATGGATTCGTGCTAGTGGGGCTCTTACAAATAAAGCTGCTGTGAATATTTGTGTACAAGATGTTTTAGACATATGCTCTCATGTGTCTTGGATCGATTTCTGAGAGTACAATGGCTGGATCACACGTTAGGTGTACAATTCACTTTCTTTTTTTAAGATTTTATTTATTTGTTCGTGAGAGACACACAGAGAGAGGCAGAGACATAGGCAGAGAGAGAAGCAGGCTCTTCTCAGGGAGCCTGATGTGGAACTCCATCCCTGGACCCGGGATCACACCCTGGGCCCAAGGTAGACGCTCAAAAGCTGAGCCACCTAGGCATCCCTACATTTAACTTCTTAAACCAATGTATACGAGTAGCTTTCTTTGTAGATTCCCGGTCATTTTCTCTTCACACAATTATGCCCTCTGTTAATAAATATAAGTTCACTTCTTCCTTTCCAAGCTAAATGGCTTTTGTTTCTTCTATGTGCCTTATTGCGTTGACTGTAATTTCTACTGCAAATCAAAATACAAGTGATGAAAGCCAAAAATCTTCCTTTATTTCTGACACTAAGGAGAAAGCATTTGGACTTTCCCCATCAAGTATGACATTTGATGTAGATTTTGGTTCAGCTTTTTTCTCATTGAAGAAACTCCCCTCAATTCCTTATTCACTAGGAGTTTCTCTTTGGAATGGATGTAGGTTTCGTCAAATGCTTTTACTGTATCTGTTAAGATTACCCTCCTAAATTGCTCATCTGGTACTTGTCAATCACTTTGGATATATCATAGATAAATTGTCATAACAAAATATTAAAGAAACTACCACTCTCCCATTTTTACACATAATGAATCAAGCTGAAAAGTATCAAGAGTTTCATGGCAGAGTTAATAGTTTTCAACACAGAGCTGGATGATAGCAAAATCCTGTTCCCTGTTTCTGCCACTACAGATAGTTGACAGAAAAAGAACTGAGAGAGACACTAGAGCGTAGCAAAATGACTTCCTCCCAAGCCTTTGAAATATTTTAGAACAGTGTTTTATATGTTCTTTATTGAACTAATTGAACTAATGAACTTATTGAACTAATGGAAATGAACTAATGCAAATAAGTAAGAACTAAATAATTGCAGGTTTGGCTCTTTTACCAAAAGAAGAAAGAAAACATATTACAAGGGATACCCAAACTGCTACTCAGGAGCCGACCAGTGAGCCGTGAGACGTGGCTTCACAATTCCATTCAGACCTATTATTGACATCTGATTACTACAATGCACCGTAGCAAAACTGTAAACTCTCCTAGGATTTTGTGATGCACCAAGATGTTGGTGCCTCAATCGTGACCAGTGATCACTCTCTCCGTTCCTTGAAACTTGCTTTTGATAACACAGCCTGGAGCATAGTTTTTCCAGTTACCAAGCATAAATCTCTCTAAAAAATTTAGAAATGTAATTGCCCTATGACACAGCGATCCACTTCTGCTATATACTAAAAAGTGGACAGAATATAAAAATACCCCAAAAATTGAACGTTTATGTATTCCTGTTTCTACCAAAAGTTGGAAGAAACCAAAAGGTCTATCACAAATAGTAATGGATAAACAAAATGAGATATTCCCTGCACTGGAGTATTATTAAACCTCAAAAAGCAAAGACATTCTGTAACATACTGAAAGATGGATGTACCCTGAGGACATTATGGCAAATGAAACGTCAAAAAATGACCAAGATAGCATAACTCCACTTCTTTGGGGAATCTAAAGTAGTGAAACACATGGAAAGAGAAAGCACAATGGTACTTTCCAAAGACTGGAGGGATGGAATAATGGGGAGTTACTGTTGAATGAGCAGAAATATTTAGTTTCTCTATATGAAGAGTATTCTAGAAATGGCTGGTGGTACTGGTTGAACAACAATGTAATGGATTTAATACTACTGAAGTATACACACAAAAAATGTTAAAATAGTAAAAAAACTATGTTAAAACGGTAGAATTTTATAATTAAATTTAAAAAAAATGTGAGGAGGGGCTCCTGAGTGGCTAAGTGAGTTAAGCATCTACCTTCATCTTGGGTCAGGATCCCAGGGTCCTTGCGTCTAGCCTGGTGGTGGCTGCCTACCTGACCGAGAGTCTGCTTCTCCCTCTCCCTCAGCCCTTCCCCCCAGTTCCTGTTCTCTCATGCTCTCCAATAAATGAATAAAATGTTAAGAAAATTTCCAGGTGACACTCGTTAAGATTTCTACACTACATATCTGCCTTCCAAGCAAATATAAGAGGGTGCTGCAGTGCCAGATCAATTATCAACCATCCATTACCATCGGAATTTTAAGGTCCTATGGGAATGGAGTTAAGGTGGAAGGAAGGAAATAAGGGGAAAAGGATATTGCACTGTTGAACATTGGTCAAACAAAGAGTGCTGGGAAGTGTGCACACTGAGCCATAGGTTGGCAAAAAAAGTGCTTTGAGAGAGTTGAAGTGAGGGGCAGGAACACACAAAGAGGAAAATCCACTCCCTGCTCCTTCACAGTGTCCCCCTAAGAGCTCCTAATTATGGTCACTTGTGGATAAGACAGGTAGGAAGCAGGTGAACCTCCTGTATGCAAACTGAGCTCTCCTATGCCACAGCTGTTAATAAGATGGAACAGACACTAGTACAAACTACGTCACAGAGCAGGCCTCTCTGAAAACTAAATGTGAGTACAACTGACTCACAGCAACAAACCTAGTTAAAGTAAACACTATACACAACACTGAGTGCCTCACCCGTCCATCTCGCACCTTGTGGCTTGCTACCAGCACACCCAACCAAGGAGGACAAGAAGAGTGAGCTTCTGGAAGTGGCTAGTGAGCATGTGCAGAAAGCAGCCTCACTCTGGAAGACTGGGAGAAATTACACAAATTCAGTCAACACCATCCTAGAC